AGATAGAGCTAATGGTGGCACGACACAACGGAATTTGACGTTCTTGTTGCGTGTGTCAAGCAAGTTGCAAGTTGTCAACGTTTATGTCAACGTTTCTTTATTCCGGTCGGTTCAGTTTAATTTCTTTTTTTTTTTTTAAATATCACTCCTGGATCTGACTATTTTATTTCATTTGAGTAATGGCCGTTTCCACCAACTATTTTAGGGGTGCCTTAACGATAAGTATTCCTTAAATTGACATTTCTCCATGTAAAAATGTCATTTTAGGGAATACTTATCGTTAAGGTTCCCTAAAATAGTTGGTGGAAACGGCCATAAGGGCGAATTCTCATGAGCGTAAGTTGACATTTCTGGCGTAATCACGTGATAATATGATGTAATTTGATTGGTAACATGTCAAATATTTTTCCAATAAAACCCAACCATTTTATCACGTGATTATGCCAGAAATGTCAACTTACGCTCATGAGAATTCGCCCTAAAAGACCAATCAAATATCAATTTGGTTACCCCCTGTGCTGCATTTAAATTCAAGATGAGATGGCAGAATGAAAACCAACACCAAAAGAAAAAGGTATAGGGTATAGAAGATGTTACGTAATAACGGCCCTTAGATAAAAATATGAGATTTTGCCACCAATAGCTCCATCTCTCTCGGACCTCTCTTACTAATGTTGGCTGCGAACAAACGCTGTTCGAGAATATGGCCGGGCCAGTGCTAAGGTGAAATCAAAGGCCGGCATAGACACACGTTCTTTCGCGCGGTTTATCGTGTCATCTGCAAAAACCTGTGAAAAATCATGTGCATGAGTCAGGAGGACTACACGCAATGATAGAATGGGAAGGGATTTCAGACGTGCTTTCATCTGAAATGTGACGTCAGTACTCAAGTGTGTCCACACGCCATTCCACGTCACGGTTTTGAGGCTAGTTCAGAGACTGAACGCAGCGTAGCGAACTATCACGTTGAAAATTAGTACATGACAACATGCACTTCCAAAAGACACGATAAATGACACCTTTTACCATACACATACGGTTTTTTGTTTCTAACTGATATGCCGCGCGTAATCACGTGCTAAATCATTTGAATACTTTGTCAAGTGTGGACCATGACGCTTTTTTGCCACGCCGTTCTTTCGCGCGTGCAAACCGCTACATCCCAACACGTCACGATAAACCGCGCGAAATATCGTGTGTGTATGCCTGCCTAATGAAGTGAAAAGCTATTGACCAAAACCAAAGGAGTTTTCTCGTGTCCGATGACGTTTTTCAAAACAGGTTTAAGACAGTGTCATAACTTCTCGGCGCGAGAAAATGGTTTTTAAACATAAATTGGATTGTGTTTCGAAACAGATTGAACCAATGTTGATGTGACGTCATGGGTTCATTTACGTACATAAACATGCCTCGGTCAGTCAAGCGAAACTTGGGACAAGGACCTAGGGTGTCTGGTTAAAAATGTCGAGATATCTAGATAATGCAACGAATTTACTAAGACTGAAAATCGCTATACATCTATATATATAAAAATGAATGCCACTTTTCGTTGTAATTTTATAACTCAAGAACGGACTCACCTAGCCAAACCAAATGTTTAGGCTTTGTTCGGACTATTTATTAGATGGTTTATGTGAAGTTTGCACAAAATCGGTCGAGCGGTTCTTCATTTATCACATTTTTTGTAATAAATTAATTATTCAATAAATGGAGCATCATTTTGCTGTCAAATTCAAACTTTTTTCAGCGTTGACAGTACCAGCATGTTGTTATGTCATTAATGTGGTCATTTCATTACTTATTTTATTTATTTATGAAAAAAATTTACTAAGTCCACATACGGCGCCATGTCTTATAACCGATACCAAGTTTATTTTGTATTTTGTATACCGCGCCATCTCTGATACCTGGAACGAAGCTCGGCATTGCAGATACAGTAGAACAATGCTGTACAGAACTATTCCATTATTCCGATCAGATAGAGTGGTGCAGAAAGAGTAGGTCAGATAGAGTAGTGCAGATAGAGTAGAACAGATGAAGTAGTGCAGTGCATGCAGTGCAGATAGAGTGAAATAGGGCTGCGCTAGAGATTTTTTTTGTTTTCTTTACATTCTTTGAACATTCCTGTGCCCGAGTTTATTTATTTGGTGGTACACTTTTCAAGAATAATGCCCACAAGCTGCCTAAAAAAGGATGATGTAAAATTTTAATTTTAGGTGACTTCTGATCTAGAGAGGAAACATTAATTTTCTTCAACCAAAGTCAAATTCACCATCGAAATAAACTGAATTTAATTCAGCTAATAGATACGTTAACACAACATTTAATAGGTATATTTAATAATTCAGAGGCGGTACGAAGTTCGCCGGGTCAGCTAGTAATATATATAACACATAAATAACAGTGATGTTTGTCAGTCAGTTGAATAGCGGAACTGGGCCGGTCAGTTCAGCCCCAATTTGAGTAAAAAAATAATAGGTCTATTTTTTTTAGAGTGACAGCGTGACAGTGACAATTCAAAATTGTAGATTGAAGTTTAAATTAATAGGTTTGTTCAGTAATATTAATATTTTTTGCAGATTTTTACATTTATTGAGGCTGACTGACCAGCACGGTCCCGCTATTCAACTGACTGACTAACACTACTGTTATTTATATGTCATATATAATATGTATAATGATTTTCAGCTTTAGTAAATTCGTTGCATTACCCAAGTTATCTCGACACATTTAACAAGACATCCTGGGTCCTTGTCCCAAGTTTCGTTTGACTGACCGCGGTATGTTCATGTACGTAAATACTGTAATCAACTGTCCAAAAACTAGCTTTAGTAAATTCAGAGAATTTTTTCGGCGCTGGCTCTTAGACTATAGTGCAAATATTCGACGTCAAGGCAAGAAACGACACGCTGCCTACGCCATCACTGGTACTTGGGCGTAGTGGGGGCTGGAGATTTGATCTACACAGGCCTTATGAGTTATGAGGATAGGCTATCCTGTTTAGTGTGTGATTTCCTTGACGTGTCCCAACTATAAAAATAAATATATTCATTTTGAATTAGATTTCAACTTCACTTTGAGTTATGGACTACTTCTTCAATTTATGCATATTTGGTTTAAGTACATTATTTAATATTCTAAAACTAAAACAATCCTTGTTTAGATCTCGTTTGCATTTTCCTCTTATTATGTTAATCAAAATTAAATAATATTTTTCATCATGAAATGAATATTTTTAATTACGACTGCTGGCGCAAACCCTTAACGACACCGTTGATGACGTTGGCAACGGTGCAACACCGTATGAACTTGAATCCGATGTAGTAGTGTGTAATATCCTTGGTATAGCCTAGCCGTGTTCAGAAATGCCCGCATTCCAATATTTCCACTGGGTACATTCAGGCGGTCCCAGCGGTTGAGCTCAGCCACTCAGCGGGAACTTTATTCTCGAAACAGGGGAGCAGCCTTCTCATTGGAACGAAGGTTCTGTCTTTGTCGTCTGGCATAACACTGACAATGACAGAGCAATTGTTCTTTTGAGAACGCTGTTCCTTGATTTCGAGAAAAAACTCCCTGCTGAGTGGCTGAGCTTAGCCGCTGGGACCGCCTGAATGTACCCAATGATCTGTTTTTTAGTGTTTTCATTATGATACGACCAAACAGCAAATAGCCTAATTTATGAAATATTGAAACCGAAAAATACCGGTAAGCAGTAAGAACTGATTAATTTATATCGGTTCTGGTTCTGCCTGCCCTACAATATTTCTATGAAATATGGGTTTCGTTGCGGTTCCGGTCCGCAAAAAAAAACGGTTCCGTTCCGGTTTTCGGTTCAATATCGTTCCAGTCCCTGATTCTGAATAATAAAATTATTGGCCCAATTTTTTTATAATGGTTCAATAGCTGCGTTCGGTATTAACGTCTGATCAATCTGTTCGATCTGAATAGTTCGTTTATTGCATCTAGATGTAGGGGAGGCAAATCTAAGCGAGCATTTACATTCACTTTTAACTTCCAGTTAAATTTGATGTTTGATATTTTATCATTTACATTGCAGAACAAAAACGTCAAGTCAAAACGTCAGAATTTTATGAGAATCATGAGCCGCTTTCCAGTATGGGTGTGTGACGCCCGGAGCTACTCGGGGCGTTGAGCTCCCGAGCTGTACGTATGCGTCAACCTGACGTGAATACCGCGGGTAGACTTATGCCGCATGCCGCATATCATACATCCAATGTAAAAACGTACATGTTCTCGAGATCATCACGCATCGGTGCAGCGCACGCACGTAGTACGCACGCCCTGTGTCTTGCAATTCATAACAATTTCGCAAAAATTGCCAAGCTACAACCACATTCTCCTCGCTTGACGACATTTTGAAGACTGCGAGTTGCGAGTGTTTGGATTTTTTTCGTCTTTGCGTACGAGGTTAGCAACATACGATAGCTTTGTTGTTCCAACACATCAAGAAATCGTACAATGTACCATCGTCACCAAAATTATCTGGGACAAAAATAATTCATAATAATCTCCTGGACTATTTCTCTACTTTCATTTTATTCAAAATTTGACAAATATTAGACGCTAAAGGTCATATAATAGTACAAGAGCTAATATGTTGCTGTCCTAGTTACTTTTGATAACGATGGTACCGTCACGATTCTGCGCAAAGCCAAAAATTTATGCGTAGAACTCGAAATTTGTATTCAGAGTGGTTTCGGAACCGTTCCTGGGGCGGCTTTTGACGTGTTGGAACAAACCTGATATTTACTTTACTTCATGTCGCATGTTGCATATGTTTGATGTTTCTTTGGTGTACGACCGCATGTTCCTCGATAGTTAGAAGATAGTTCTTAAACGGAATGTGAATTACGTTGATCATTACTCAATTTTTTGCTCATTGTAAAAAGGGTTATTTTGAAATTGCTTTCCTACGTTCTTTTTTGTAAAGAATATTATTTCATGGTTAGGTTAAATGTAGAATTTATGAAATGACTCACCATGTTGTTTGGTTGTTGCCCAGGCCCACCCCTAGGCCCAGCAGGTTGTTGCCCCATTGGCAGTTGTTGCATCTGACCCATCTGATGCTGGGGCTGTTGCATCTGACCCATTTGATGCTGCTGCGGAGGCTGCATGTGAGGCTGTTGGGGATGTTGCTGGGGGTACCCTGGTGCGGGGAATCCAGGATACATCGAGCCAGCTGGCCTGAAAATCATTTTTTTTTAAATTTTACTAATTTACAAAGTGACATTTCATAACCCGTTATTATAGTGTCACATCGATGAAGTTTTCATCACCAAGTTACAATAAATTGAACTTTTTGTATTTACTAGAACCAGTCGCACAGGTTTGACCGGTTGGATAAAAACAAATGCGAGAAGTATCAAATCAAAACAAGCCCTATAGACCGTTTATGCCCACTGCCAAAAAGGGCAATGATAGTATAACTTTGGTATAACGTATGCGCCCTGCCCTCTGAGGGTTTGGTAATTATAGGCTCGTGAACGTACAAGCAAAATTAGCGGGTGACCGCGCTTGCGCTGAAGACTTCTTCATAAAAATACTGTTGGGCAAAAATAAAGATGAGCTATAATTGTTTTATAAATATTGTATCAGGCCGGACCTTATAATCATTTAGTACCTATACGTTTAGTTCTTTATGTAAGATTTTATTTTGCATTTATTTAGAATGTTTAGAATTAATAATAGAGGTTTATTATTGAGGAACTATTTATTGTGGCGCGCGTATGAATATTTGGTCGGGGTGTCGAATCCCGCCAATCTCAAGAAAGTGCCCCCCGGTGCAAGGAAAACGAAGAAGGAAGGAACGGACAGCCGAGCCGACAGCGAGTGTCGCGAGTGAGTAGTTGTAGTTGGAACTGTTGGGAGAGGAGCGAGCTGCCGATCGGCTGGTGCGTAGTGCCATCGCTCAGGGGTCGTGGTCGTATTTTCGAATTTATTCGAGTAGGTACATTTCGTACACGAAATTTGACTGACAGCAATTTAAATTAAGAGGCCAACAACAAGCCGTTAAAAATTGATTTCCCGAGACGAGAAGTGAGAACTCACTTATTTTGTAATATTTTTTGACCGGATTAGAAAATAATAAAAGTCTAAAGATTCATGCTGTTGTTTTAGTTTTTCGAAAAAAAAATTGCAAATTGAAAATACCACGACCTAAATACTCGAAAAAAAGCATCATTTTTATCGCTCGGTACATCCAAACCCATCGCTTTTTTTAAAAAAATAAAACAAGAGCATTGTTCTAAATTTTATTATCTTTTCAAATCTTCTTGATTCACTAAAAAATATTAAGTAGTTTTTGAGATCTCGTCTCGAATTGTAAGCCCTGCAAACACGGAATTTCAAAAATTTTGGCCGCAGCGAGGTGCTGCCTCTGGCGGATTTAATTTCGCACCGGGGTAAGTAAAAATTACACAACGCGAGAGGACTGCAAGGCCAGTTATTAGTTTGTGTAAATAATTATGGCGAATATATTTGATAATGAACTCAAAAAGAACAAAGATTACTTTACTAGAATTCAAGAAACGAAAGAGGATACCATATACCTAGCATAGGTAAATACAGTTAGTACGTAAAGGTTGGGAATAAAAACCATCAAAAATACAGGGTTGATTTTTTTTTCAAAAAATCTCGGATACGTCGATTTTTGATTTTAGTGGCCGCTTTTTTGATGAGAATTTCATACACTGTCAAAACTGACATACCAACAATAAACTAACATGTTTTGATTGTTGATTTGAACCAATCAGATTGGAATTACGTGATAATTTGTATTAGTGTAAATTATTGCATAGTAATAATGCGAGAACTGGTGTTTTGACAATTTTTGACAAAAAATTTAAATTTTTAATTTATGAAATTTTCTCATAAAATACATAGAATGTCTCTTTATGCTGACAACAATTCAGGCAAACTGATAAAATGCCGGCAAAACAAAAACAGAAGAATAAATATCATGTTGTGACTGATTATTTGTAGGCATTTTACAATTTGCCAAAAACGGTGCCGTCAAAACGTGAATAGATATAAAACAAGTCGAATTTTCTCGATTAGGTATTAGGGTAATTATCTATTATCCATTACCAAATTCGAATATTCCGAATTTGTTGATTTTTTGTAGGAAGGTTTAATTTTAGTCGCTAGTCACAAATCTGAAATCCGTTCTTGTCGCTCGCATTCCGTTTCCGCTTTGCGCGCTTTGTTATTAACCAGTACACTTATAACCAGTAATAAACGAACTTTAACGAAACTTACCAAAAGTATGGAAACTAACCCAAACTAACCAGTCCACCTAATCCACCTAATTAATGACTTGAGTGTTTGTTTACTGTTCGGACTCGTTTCAAGTTTCGAATGAAAAATCAGTTCGTAGTAGTGTTTCTTTGGTATTGTATTTTGTTACGAGCAATGTTAATAATTGAGCATTAAATTTAATACCCGGGCAATTTAGAAAGTGCCCAAAGAAATATGACAAAATTATGAATTATATAAAAGATATCAGATTGCCCACACGGCATTATAAATGATGACCGGGTTATTATTGGTAAGTTTGGTAATGTCTGAATAAAATTTCAAACTAACCCAAACTAACCTGGTTATTATCGGTAATTTTGACAATGTACCCCAAACTCTTGGAGTAGTCCGAACAGTTAGGGTACTCGGAGTATTCCAAACAGTTGGAGTACTCAAACAGTTGGAGTAACCGGAGTATTCCGAATAGTTGGTGTACTTGGAGTACTCCCAACAGTTGGAGGTACTTTGAACAGTTGGCTTACTTCGATCACTAGGAGTACTTCGAACAGTTAGAGTACTCCGATCAGTAGGAGTACTCCGAACAGTTAGATTACTCCGACTTAGCAGTACTCCAGACAGTAGGAGTATTCCAGAGAGTTGGCTCACTCCAAACAGTTGGAGTACTCCGAGTACACCAACTATTCGGAATACCCAACCCAACTGTTCGGAGTACGCGAACTGTTACTCCGAACAGTTGCGTTGGAGCACTCCGTACAGCTGTTATTGAACTGCCGCGTAGTAGAATGTGTGATAGATTTTCCTACCAGCGTGCGAGAAACACACACGCATTTTTATTCCAGTCCGTTATCATTATCAAACTTACCGATAATGACCCAGTTAGTTTGGATTAATTGGCAATTTTAATCGGTGATTATCAAACTTACTGATAATAATCCGGTTAGTCTGGGTTAGTTTGCAATTTTAATCAAACAAATTATCTACTTCACTCCAGCATTAATCATAATGACCAATGCCCGGACAATGTGATGATATCTTCTAATTCATTCATTCATTCATTAAATTTTCTGGGCATTATAAATAATGCCATATTATTTACCTTGCCCATTGCCCGTGACATACGAAAAAAAAATAGAGAATGTACTGAGTGCACTCACCGGTCACCGGGTAAGTTTTTCTTTCTCTTTTAGGTAGATAATATAGTGTTAACTGTTTCTTTATGTTTTCTAAATAAAAAGATTTACTGTAACTGTATTATTTATATTTAATAGTATTTTCGTCTTTTTTTTCATGTTTTGACGGCACCGTTTTTGGCAAATTGTAAAATGCCTAAGAATAATCAGTCACAACATGATATATTCTTGTGTTCTTGTTTCGCCGGCATTTTATCAGTTTGCCTGAAATGGTGCCGGCATAACGAAAAAAGCATTTTAAGCTTGCGTTTTGCCGGCTTTTTGTAAAATTCCTAGGTAAATTATAAAAAGCCCAAATTTGCATTATGCCTACGACATATCCACTGTTTCAGCAGCACAAGTTCGCAGCATATATGGGAAACTTTTTTATTATCAATTTTACGAAAAAAAGTTATCCGTTATAAGGGTTTCTGCTTCTTGAAAAAATAATATTAAACTATTAAAAGTTGAAATAGTATGTACAGGGTGGTCAAAAAATAGAAAAATATACAGGGTATTTCCTAAGTACTGTCCGTAACTTCAGGATGTCATTCCTTACAGTATTTTAACAAAAAAAGTTCCCATAAATATGTGACCGGAAATGCGTAGTTTTTGAGATACAGGGTGTCAAAGTTTTAGAAAAAATCGTTTTTTCAGCTCAAAAATCTTTCCAATTTTTTTTTTTTTTAATTTGGCAGGTTGATTTGTGATAACGAAAGGTATTTTTGACTGTAATATGACTTGCTTAATCTGAAAAAAATATCAATGGTTTAAAAAAATAGTGATGTGCCATTTTTTTTCTACTTTTACCAAAAAACCCTGCATATTTTTCTATTTTTTAATCACCCTGTACCGGGTGTTTTTTTATCTTTGATATCATTTTGATCACCTGTAACTTTTTTGTTTTTGAAGTTATCAAGGTAAACAAAAAAACAAAATGTGGGGTTAGTAGCCAAGTTTTTTTTCAAGTTACACGTAAAACATAACACTATCAACTTTTTGACATATAAGCCTACATTATATTTTTTCAAATGGAACACCCTGTATATTATATGTGTGTTCGATAGAATATCTTATTCTGATTACAATGATATAGCACACTTCATTTTTTGGTCCACTCGTTTTTGACAAATCAGCAAAAATATGAAACTTTCGGAGTGAAACTTATTAGGCGGCGGTCTGATATTTGGGACGAAAATTATTGAGAGCATATAAAAATTTCATATATTTTTGCCGATTTATCAAAAATGAGTGGAACAAAATATGAAGTGTGTTATATCATTGATGTAATCAGAATAACGTGCTCTAACGAACACACATATAATATACAGGGTGTTCCATTTAAAAATAGTACATTAAAATACAAGTTTCATAAGACGTGATTTTATCGCACGAGCCCTAGATTAGAAAACGAGCCGGAGGCGAGTTTTTTAAAGGACGAGTGCGATAAAATGTCTTATGAAACGAATATTTTATACTTTTTTTTCTATTTTGGTATTGTTTAATTAAAAAAAACAAATTTTTCTTGGAAATTTTATTCTCATATTTCCTGATTTCATGTTTAGGTTGGTAACACTACATGCCGAATATAGAATTAAATCTTCTATAAAATCGAGAATGACAGTGCGATGGTCATCAGTCAGCCAGTGTTACCAACTTCCGATAAGTGAAAAAGGAGTGTCACAAAGAGCTTCTTTTCGAAACTACTTTTAGTGTCGAAAAGACTTCGATATGAAACCAAAATAGAAAAAATATAAT